GTGAAGAGCATCGTTCCTTCCTGGCTGCAGAAATACTTTAAGAACGGCGACGCCTCTGAAGAAGGAGACGTAGCTCAGGGGACCGACCAGAACTGCCTGCTGCCCCCCCCCCCCAACGGGGGCGAGCAGGGGCCCCCCCCCCTCGATGGACGGGACTCCCCAGAGCCAAGCACCAGTAACACAGGTCAGAGCCCTCCTAGCATAGGTTCCTCGTCTTTTAAAAAAAAAATAGCATGGGTTCCTCGTCCCGATCCGATATCTTGATCGGATCGTCCGGAAAGCCGAAAAAACCAACAAAAAAAACAATTTAACTCATTGACTGCCAGCCATTTTCAGAACAGAGAGTCCCATACTGCCAGAGTTTTTTGAGCATTTTGACTGATTTTTCAAGAGCCACAGAATAGTTTGTGCTCTGACTATGTAAACACCGAACACACCAAAAGAAAGAGTAGACTCTCTTCTTTCGTCAGCAAAAAAAAATTGTTTCTACCTTATTCCGTTCTTCTTCGACGTGCGTCTCACCGGCGACATGTTCTCTCATAGCGAACCATTGCGTTTGTTTTTATTTGCCTACAGTCTATGCTCATCTCCCATCAAAAGTGGCACTGCCCCCTAGAGGGTCAATTTGTTACTACATACTCTGTCTAGAAGCCTGATATTTACGGACAAGCTTTAGCAGATCGTCCCCAAGCCACTCTCGTTGAAAAACATAAAAGACTTCTATAGACGTCTTTGGCAGCGAACGAGTTAACTGGTAGCAAGCAGCAGAAGTAGTTTAAGCTTTAAGTAGTTTACAACGGCAGTGTTGTATATTCGACTGATTCAAAGACGAAAAGGAGTCGGATGGATAATTGAACTGAACTTTAGTGAATAATAAAAAAAGGGATGAACGAATCATACATTACAATACACGACAGAGTGTAGGTGCTCGGCTAACATAGCTCTTTTTTCTCGGTAAACTCCTCAATTCTACCTCTTCGTCTAACCTCCCGTTCCTCTTGCCCTTGTGCAAAGCATCATGGGATATTGAGTCCATTCTGTTAACGACCACAAATAGTCAGTTTTGAACCAGATACTAACTATAAAGTGCTAACTAGATTTATGAACTAACTGCAACTAAAATAGTTACCCGATATTAAATTATAATATCCCAAATAATAAGTCCTAAACAAATCCTGGTTAAACCCAAAACAAATTCCCAACAGGCAGAATGTGCTGAACATTTTCTTAAACAGTCTAATCATTTAGATCAGATCTGACCCTTGTTTAACAAAAAAAAGGCCAGAAGAGATGCTTTCTAGTTGGGATTGGATCGGATATTTGCAAAAAAATGTGTATTGGCCGGCAGGAGAAAATGCAGATCCAGTTTTTTTTAACAGTTCGATCCCACTTGAGCATTAGCATTAGCATTAGCATCTCCTATCCCGGGGGTCTGCAGCTTACAGGTCTTTAGTGTGCCCCAGTGGCTCCCTGAAACTTTTTCAGAAATGTTTGGAAATGGGAAAAGATGGGGGAAGGAAATGTGTTTTTTGTTTCTCTTGGAGGAGAAAACATGACACAAACATTCTTAACGTTTTCCAATGCTCTAAAAATGTGTCCCTCCCAGTTGGGAGTGAGAGAAAAAGTGCGATTGCATTACTTCTGGAGAAATTAAAGGAGCAAAAAAATAGATTTAAAAAGTGGATTGCATCTCGAAAAATCTAAAGTTTTGTTGCAACCCAGGAGATAATAAAGCGTAGAAAACTGTTCACATCCAGACTCCAGATCCAGTTTTTTTTTTTTAAGTTCGATCCCACACGAGCATTAGCATTAGCATCTGTAACCCACAGGTCTGTGTCCTAACCATTAAGTTGTTATCAGAGTAAATCCCTGTTCAACATGAGTCTGACAACTAAGTACAGTTGGTGAAATAAGTATTTGACCCCTTGCTGATTTTGCAGGTTTTCCCACTTACAAAGAATGCTTATTTTTCCTCATCAGATGGTTATCAATTTCTATAAATTCATATGATGTGATTTTCTGGAATTTTCTTTGGGATTCTGTCTTTCACTGTTAGCATGTACATATGATTAAAGTTATAGATCGTTGCATTCTTTGTAAGTGGGCAAACCTGCAAAATCAGCAAGGGGTCAAATACTTATTTCCCCCACTGTATAATTTTTTAAAATGTTTATTTAACCTTTATTTAACCAGGAAGTCTCATTGAGATTCGGAATCTCTTTTTCAAGAGAGACCTGGCCAAGGTGGCAGCCAAACCACAAGAAATTCATACATATTACATTTTACATAATAAAATCGGAGCAATATGTTAAAACGCATTGAGCATCTCAAGAAAGACAAGCACAAATCTCCATCACTACACTCTTCATGGTTGCTTTAAATTCATTAAAGTAAGTAGATAAATAATTTCAAACTTTAACACATGCTCTGATAGGCCGGGATTGAATCGGAAGTGCAAAAACCTGGATCGGGACATCTCTAATTTCACCCTTTCTCTCCTTTCCCTCTCCAACAGAACCCTCCGCTAGCCGCGCATCCCTAAACTTTCAGGATTACGTGCTCTCTCGGCCCCCCCTGAGCCGCTCCCACCTCCACTTCTCTCCCCTGGACGCCTCCTCCCCGGGCCTGGGCGCCTCCAGCAGCCTCTTCTCCCAGCCCTCCACCTCCTCCGCGCCCGGACCCTTTTCCACCGGCTTCTCTCTGGTTAAAGAGATTAAGGACAACCTCTCGCAGCATGAGGACGACAACATCTCCACCACCAGCGGATTCTCCTCCCGTGCATCCGACAAGGGTGAGTTCAGAGAAACCCGACTGGTGTTTGTGGCTCTTTTATGATCTATAAAAGCTGAGGAATATCTTTAGTCGCCGAGGAACTTTCTGGTTTACAAGATTTAGACTCAAAGGTGCCACCAAATCATATCAGATCAGAAATACTTTAAATATCCCAGAGGGAAATTATTTATCATTTTATTATTTAAATACTCAACCCTGTGGAAGATTGTGCTTAATTTCCAAAC